CAAGCCCAAGGACCAGTACCAAAAAAAGAACACACACACACACTCACAAAGTCCGCTGCCTTTATGGGACTACAGTAGTCAGGAGTAGGAAGCAGCACACTACAGGAGGCCTGTGTTACAAAAGAACCTGTGCAATGCGTAACTGATTGTTTTACTAACAAGATTCGGCTTCTGTCTAGGAGGAAGACACAGCCTATGATATTTTATAAGGTATTTGATTGGTAAAATATCTTATATTCGTGAGTCCCTTATGAGACAAGCAGGTCAGAGAAGTATTTTAAGTAAGTCATCCAAGGTTAGTAAAATGGCAAAGCCTAGAAGAGTACTTGTCTACAAACCAAATTCCATGCCAAAACAGTGTTATCATAGCAAAAGCATCCTCAGATATATTTTCTGCAACTTTTCCATCTAGAAATCATTTATTAGTTTCAAAAAGGAATGACTAAATGAGAGGCATAAAAATCTAACACAGAACTTCCTAAGTGGTTATTCCATTCAGGGAAGGCACAACAAAGAATGTGTTAAAGTAGATTCATACTTTAGACTTCCATTGTCCAAAATGATAGCTGCGAGAGTATATGTCTGCATAAATTCAAATACAGTAACTAAAGTAAGAAAAAAACTATTCCTCACTTATACTAGCAGCCACATTTCAAGCACTTACTAGTCAGCCCCTTCTAGCTGATGGCTATTATACTGGACAGTACCCATACAGAACTTTTCTGTCATTGCATAGTTCTACTTGACAGCACTGCTCTAGAATATGGACTGACAAATTACATTATTTTATTATTGCTGTACATGGAAAGAATACTGGCTTTGAAGACTTGACAGTCCTCGATTTTAATTCTGTATCTCCCACTTACTGCTTTTATGACTTGTAAGCAAGTTACTATGTCTCTGGGTCCCTTGTTTTCTTCTCTATGAGTTGGGAATCAGAGATAAGGTGACTGAACATCATAACTGCTCTATAACTACATAATCTGCAACCTCCCCATACTTCATTGAAGCCCTATTTGAAGCCTTTTTAGGTTGCTGAAAGGTCCTTGTACAGAATAAATATGAAGAGTTTCTGAAAGACTTGAGAGAATTACCAAACTTAAACCCTTGATGACATAATTTTCTCAGTGAGATGTTTGCCTTTTTCTTAGGAGTAGAGTGGGTAGGTGGGTACTTTTTATAAATAAAAAACTAAAAATAAAAAAAGAAATAAGTTATAGTTCGACATTAACATTAACTCTAAAACATGATGTGAATGCAAGAAGTTCGATATAGAGGTAGTTAAAAGGGTCAGGGTCTTGGTGATATTTCTCACAGAAGCATGACAGAAGAATAGAATCAGGCATAATTACTCATAGAAATAATCAGACAGTAACTAACTTTTTATTCAAAGAAAAAATTCCTACACAACTCATAAGCTTGCTGACCTAACAAGACTATTTTCTACTTTTATTTTTTTAAATTTTTTTTGTACCAGGGATCCAACTCAGGTCCTTGCACTTGCGTGGCAGGTAGTGGAACCACTAAGCTAAACCCCTGGCCCTATTTTCTACTTTTAAAACAAGGCAGACTAAGGCTGGGGACTTAGCCCAGTGGTTCTGCCGCCTGTCTCGCAAGCTCAGGGTCCCAAGTTCGATCCCCAGCACTAAAACAAGCAAGCAAACAAACAAACAAACAAAAAACACTGGGCTGGGGATTTAGCTCAGTGGTTTTGCCGCCTGCCTTGCAAGTGCAAGTACCCGAGTTTGATCCCCGGTACCAAAAATAAATAATAATAAAAAAATGAATAAATAAAACAAGGCAGACAAAACACATATTCAAGAGAGGCCTTATCACTCCCTAAATCACTGTATGCTTTCTTTTCATTTCTCGCCAACAGAGCTATTTCTTCAAATATTTTCCCCAATGAAAAGATCTGGTTTAGTAAGTTTTCTGCTCAACAAAGGAAATCTTTGTTTCTACCATTTGAAAATCTTTCTAAAAGAAAATATATTAGTTTATTTTTCTCCCGAAGAATATTCTAATTAACATAATAATAAATACTTGAGATGATTTAAGGTCTCACTAACAAAGTCTGACACTATAATTGGCTAAAGTTACAGGATATTAACATGCTTATGTTGTTTCCAGATTAGTTTAGCTATCTACTAGAGTTTCACAAAAGAAAACCTAGTATTAGTTTGTTTTCTTACAATTTGCTCTCATTTTTTCTACACATGGACTACAGAAATATTCCCACATAGCTGAAGTCCTGGAAAGTTAGGCTCTGGCTAATCATGGTGCAATTATATGTCACACTTCAATTTCACAGGATCCTTTGCTGATGAAAGAAATACAATTTACTTCAGACGTTTGCTAAATGGTAATTAGGTCCAGGGTCTTTTGGTCATTTTCCTTACTATTTAGTAGCAACGGCTAGACTAAGTTTCTAGGCAATAAGAAGGAGAATTAAGCCAACTTCACTTTTTTGGGGGGGTACCGGGGATCGAACTCAAGACCTTGTGATTGCAAAGCAGGCAGCGAAACCAATGAGCTAAATCCCCGAATTAAGCCAACTTCACTTAAAAAAAAAAATCTGTGCTCTCTTGTAGAATTTCCTCCTTAGTGGAATGTTCAGCACAAAGAAAATAGCCATCTGAAATAATTCTGCTGTTAATATTAGTTTAGTTTAAATAAAATTCATCTAAACTTATAGGTATTAAAAAACATCCAATATATCTACAGAACTTAAAATCTGAGAGGTAATTATTTGACAAGCAGCTTACTGAAAAGAAATAGATTCTGTTTTGCTTAGATACTTAAAAATGAGTGAGAGGCAAGGGATTTAGCTCAGTGGTGCCAGCTGTCTGCCTTGTAAATGCAAGGAACCAAGTTCGATCCCCAACAACAAAAAAAATGAGTAAGAATTTGGGGCTTCCAGCTTTAAAGACAGGCTTTGCTACTTCTCATTCAGGAAATTAAAGAACATATAAAACAATTAATAGCTTCACACACACACACACACACACACACACAAACGCGCGCGCGCGTGCGCTCGCCGCACCCCTTAGTAGTACTGAAGATTGAACACAGGGCCTTTTGCACAGCAGGCAAGTAATGAGCTACATCCTTAGTCTGTTTTTGATGTCATTTTTTTTGGGGGGGGGTACCAGGGCTCGAACTTAGGTCCTTGAGCCTGTGAGGCAGATAGCAGAACTACTGAGCTAAATCCCTAGCCCCTCTTAAGTCTGTTTTTAAATTTAGAGATAGGGTCTCACTAAATTTCCCAGACTGGCCTTGAACTTGTGATTCTCCCACTTCAGCTTCCATGTAATTACAGCCACCTGCCATCACACCTGGTTAGCTTTTTTTATTTGGATATCAGGGATCAAACTCAGGACTTTGCGATTGCGAGGCAGGCACAGCACCACTGAGCTAAATCCCTGGCCCCTGGCTAGCTTTTTGTATTTTATACTGAAGACATGCCCCAATACTAATTACTTCTTAACCAAAGGAAACACAAACACGATAACTTACTTTTTCTTTTTTTTTCCTCCAACAATAATTTACTTAGGAGAGCACAACCACTCTGCCACTGTACTGAATTCTGATATACCGAAAGTCAATGCCAAAACAAACTGACTGCCTTCTTCCATCTTCTATCATCTGTACTTTCATTACCCATAATGAAATATGGGAACTCAATGGTTCCCTACTTACCACAATTCAACATAGATTGTTTTCCCCCCTGGTACCACGGATTGAACTCAGGACCTTACACTTGAGAGGCAGGTACAGTGCCATTGAGCTAAATCCCCAGCCCTCTACTTAGATTTCTGACTTTCCAAAGGTGTAGAAGTGACATGCAATCAGCAAAAATTGTATGTAGAATTCTGAATTTCCCTGGGTTAGTGCTACATGGTATGACACTCTCCTGTGATCCTGGCAGAAGCACCCAGCCACAGATCCCGGTCAGACACGTGATCACAAGGGGACAAAAACTACTGATACTCTATAGTGTACTGTGTTGTTAAGCTATGATACATGGTGGTATATTAAATGCACTTAAAACAAGGGCTGAGGATTTAGCTCAGTGGTGCCACTGCCTGCCTTGCAAACGCAAGGACCCAAGTTCAATCCCCGGAAAAAAAAAAAAAAAAAAAGGAAGCACTGGGCTTATCAAGAAGTAACGTCAGCGAGCTTGAGGAACATTTATACTCTTCCTTCCTTCTCTCCCTCCTTCCTTCCTTTTTCTTTATGGCTTTTTGAGACAGTTTCTCACTATGTAGAGACTGACCTGGAACTCACTATATAGCCCAGGCCGGTCTCAAACTCACAGTGATTCTCCTGCCTCGGCCTCCTGAATGCTGGGATTACAGGGGTGCGCCACCACACCAGACTATACTGTACTTTCTTTAAAGGGCTATTCTAGTTTTGGTGACTGCATTAATCATTATTAGAGGCTGTAAAATACCCAAAAAGACCCTGAAGTAGGAAGCAGGAAAAGATTCACAACCCTCACTTTCTAAATGAGTGTTCACCTATCTCCGAGTCACTGTTAACTTACAGACTTCCCCCCATTATGCATCTCTAACATTAGAGCACAGCAGCCGTGGGCATGGCACAGGTACCCAGTAGTCATTCAATTAAACAATTAAAAAATATTTCTATCCAGGGCATACACGGTACTTCTCTGGAAAGAAGCATCAGTGTTTGCTTCTGTCTGTTTCTTACAAACTAAGTTCTACTGGCACGGCCATGGGCGGCGGAGTTCAGTGCTCCTTATTTCAGGGCTAAAATAAGGAGGAAAACTTATTTTCATAAAACAGAAATATAATGCTAATATACAGTTAACTGAAATAACAGTATGTTATTATATACAAGAGTGTTAAGTATGAAATCATCAAGACACTCATGTAAAATTGTAAAAAGCAGTATAGGCCAGTATATAATTTTGAACTCCAAAAATAGTGTGCAGAAACCAAAGCCCTTTAGTATTAAATGTAAACGGATATACTCACAGTTTGCATTTCTATATAGAAGAAATGGTTCATGGAGCTGAAATTCCAAATCTTTATTCACTGGTTCAACTAGATTGTGCATATTCAGTCGATTGACAATGGTAAAACCATGGTAGGGTGAAGCTGACCTTAGAGTTAATAGGAGAAAAATCCATAATTACCTCGTTACCTTATTTTCATTTCAAAAAAGAACAAATACATTAATGCATTATACAGTATTATAAGCACCTAAAATTATAAACAGAAAACTTCAGTCAGATCATACTCCTCTGCTCAGATGTCTTTAAGTTTCTCAGTGTGAAGGCCAAAGTCAACAAGGCCCTATCTGATGACCCCACCCCACACCCCACTCTTCCACCTCTCTTTCCTTGCTTCCTCTGCTCTGACCTCTCTGGGTTCCTGGCCACTCTCTATGAAGGTGTGTTTATACCCGAAGACCTATGTCTGGACCACTGCCCCCAAATCCACACAACCATCTCATCTCCAGCAAGCAATGCTCAAATGTCACCTTCTCACTGAACTATCCTTTTTAATGTTCCCAACCTCAAAAATGCTACCCTGTCTCTTTTTATCCACACCTCTTATTGTTTTATACTGGTTACCTTTCTCCAACTAGAGTATAAGATCCATGTAAATGAGATTTTGCTCTTATTTTTTTTCACAAACGTATCCTAGATACACAGTATAGATATTTATAAGTATCATTCATTTATTTTAAATGTTACAGAATTGGCTGCAATGACCCCTCACCTCACTATTACATGAACAATTTGCCTTAACATCAAATAAGTTTTTACATAGTTCTGCTGAGTTACATGGAAAAATCACTTGACTCCTAGAATAAGAAATGGCTTTAGTTTCTATATCAAGGGATTTAGTACACAATTCTTTGAACATGCCTCACATGTATCTAATTCTTCATAGTTTTTCATTTGTTTCTCTGTGGGATACATAGGAGAGAATAATCTATAGACTAAGAAACAAGTTCAGCATGATGTAGGCCTGTGCCCAAAGTAAACACATGTACTTGGAATTCAGCTTTAGGCTTTTTTATTCCAAAACCATACTTTATTTATACTAACTGATTCCTGCAAAGTCATATTCTGATACCCTGGTACCTGATATCCCAGGTACACAAAACGGCCTCATATTTCCCAAAGAGAGTCTCCTGAGTCTTCCTTCATTAGAACCAATGCCATATAAGCCTCCATGAACTGGATCAAGTCACTGCGCTACTAAATTTCACAATTTGTACAATCAATGGATCTGTTCTATTTTAAGAATAAAGCCTGCAAAGTACTTTCCAAATATCAGTTAAGTGTTCCTAGAGATTTATATTGCTAATAAAGAATAATTAATAGTAATTAATGAAGTAATGGGTTGAGCAAGAAGACATCCTTTTTTTGAAAGAAAGAAGAAAATGATTAACAGGAAACAAAGTATCAAAGAAAGAAGAACTTGGTGTATAAATACCAAAGAACTTATTATACTAAAGATTAGTGTTTAGAAAAGCTCTTAACACTTTACACTAAAATTTAGAAGACTATTTGAAAAAATATATATTTTTTAATGGTAGTAAAATTGATTTTTTTCCCTCCTGGTACCAAGGATCAAACCCGTGCACTTGGGAGGCAGGAACAGTACCACTGAGCTAAATCCCCAGCCTGGTAGCAAAGATTTATTGAAGAGGAAAAGAAACAGGCTCTGCAGAGAGAATTCAGGCCAAGTAAAAGTAGGAAAACAAGTGCACCCTACAAAATGAGGGTGGACTATCAGACGGCCAACAAAACCTAATTAGCACCAAAGGAGAAAGGCAATCCTTAAAAGATAAAGTAATAACTACTGCTGCAGGAACCTTAAGTCTAGAACAAAAGAGACAGAAACTTTGTCTATCTGAACAAAATGTTCATAGGAATTCAGAAAGCAACTACTCCATGAGTATAATATTCTATAAGTTTCCTTACAGCATAAAGTTGCAATCTAATTATTTTAATATAATTAATTCTCTTAAGATAAAAAAATGTGCAATTATGAATAATCTAGGCATTCTAAAAAAAAAAAAAAAAACAACAAAAAACA